AGGATTGGGCCAAAAGAAATCTGATGAGGTTCAATAAGGATAAGTGCAGGGTCCTGCACTTAGGACGGAAGAACCCAATGCACAGCTACAGACTAGGGACTGAATGGCTAGGCAGCAGTTCTGCGGAAAAGGACCTAAGGGTGACAGTGGACGAGAAGCTGGATATGAGTCAGCAGTGTGCCCTTGTTGCCAAGAAGGCCAATGGCATTTTGGGATGTATAAGTAGGGGCATAGCGAGCAGATCGAGGGACGTGATCGTCCCCCTCTATTCGACATTGGTGAGGCCTCATCTGGAGTACTGTATCCAGTTTTGGGCCCCACACTACAAGAAGGATGTGGATAAATTGGAAAGAGTCCAGCGAAGGGCAACAAAAATGATTAGGGGTCTGGAACACATGACTTATGAGGAGAGGCTGAGGGAACTGGGATTGTTTAGTCTGCGGAAGAGAAGAATGAGGGGGGATTTGATAGCTGCTTTCAACTACCTGAGAGGTGGTTCCAGAGAGGATGGTTCTAGACTATTCTCAGTGGTGGAAGAGGACAGGACAAGGAGTAATGGTCTCAAGTTGCAGTGGGGGAGGTTTAGGTTGGATATTAGGAAAAACTTTTTCACTAGGAGGGTGGTGAAACACTGGAATGCGTTGCCTAGGGAGGTGGTGGAATCTCCTTCCTTAGAAGTTTTTAAGGTCAGGCTTGACAAAGCCCTGGCTGGGATGATTTAATTGGGGATAGGTCCTGCTTTTGAGCAGGGGGTTGGACTAGATGACCTCCTGAGGTCCCTTCCAACCCTGATATTCTATGATTCTATGAAGGTTCCCAATGCTTTCGTTTTGTGAGTTAACAAACAGTTTATTATGGGAAACATAAACTGAACACTCTTTTTGGTCGTACCAGTTTAGGTTTCTGTTAGTAAATTGCTCTTATCTTTGAAATTAAAATGAGAGAAAATTTTAATTAAATTTAAATTAAATTTAAAATAAATAAAATTAAATTTAAAATAAATTTTAATTTAGCGGCCCAGTCTTTCTAATGCTAAATGCCACACATCCTGATGAATTGAGTCGGAGCTCAAAAACCTGAGCACACGTACCTATGCTTTCACTTTCTGATACAAAGTGCTTGCAGTAGAGAACGGGAACAGGTTGACACAAACCAACAAAAACCAGGAACTTCAAGATTATGGCAGGAATTTTAACCTCAGCTCCACCTGCTGTGCAGCAAATAGTGAATGCCAAATGCCATATTGGTAATCAACCCTAAGAGGTAGCAAGTCCTGTTACGGTGAGAATTTTAGTTTCAATGGTGAATTGCCTGGCTTGTTGATTTTTTTGGCTTCTGTTGTCAGTTCAGTATTTCATGAAGTTTTTGGTCGTAACTTTCTAGTGACTGAATGGTGAGAGTATCACCTGTCATGAGAAAGTGAAAATACTTACAGTATAAATAGACGTATCACATAGGACCCTTTGTAAACTAACTTCTGGGTTAAAGACATGCACATTTAGAGCTAAGTACTGCATTGGAAGATTACATATCCCTTCAATGGATGTGTCGAGACAGTTAGAAAGACCAACACCATTTAATTTGTTCAGAAGATAAATGCCTCCAGATGGGTAACTCCCATGAGCTATTTAATAAAATGCTGCTTTCAGGACAAATCCTCCAAGGTGCTGATCCCTCTTGAAATATTGTGCACCTTCAGGTCATCTGGAATCTAAATATTCGGATTCTAGGTGTAGTTTATGGCTATGTTCAGAAAGGAATGAGTTGAAACACATGCTACATGGCACTATAGACTCTGCCTTATAGAGTGATCACTCCCATTTGTGAGAGACTGGCACACAGGTGCTATCATACTGTGTCAGAACTGTGGTCCAGTTAGTCTAATCTACTGCTTACATAAGTTTTTTATGACCACCCCATTTTCATTGTGGTGTCCACAATGTTGCCCAAGTCTTTTCTCTTTAATGTTTACAGTCAATTTAAAACTCAGAAATCTGTATGCCTAGTTCAGATTATTCCTTTCCCATATGCATTACCTTGCATTTGTAAACATCAAGGGTCATCGCTCATCATGCTGCCGTTCACCAAGCTTTGTTTGAGCTCTCTGGAATTCCTCATTGTCTGCTCAAGACAATTGTTGGGGTTCTCAACCTTTTTCTTGCTGAGGACCCCCTCAACCTGCTATAAAAACTCCAGGGCTGAGGACGCCTGGTTGAGAACCGCTGTGCTATGTCACTGTTTACCCGCTTTTAATCACCACCAACCCCTAGTATGGCCGATCCAGTCGATACTACCATGTTGAAAATTAACAATTTATTTCTATTCTTTGTTTGGTCTCTTACTGCAAATTTCTAATCCATGACAGCACTTTAGCCTTGTGTGAGAGACATTATCAAAGGCTTTCTGAAAGCTCAAATAAATATTTACTTGTTTTTCCTTTATCTGCTACTTTGTTGACCGACGTAAATATAGCTATTAGATAGAAAAGGGTTGGTTTGCCTTTCAAGAAACTGTACCGTGTGTTGCCTATCATATCCTATTCAGCCAAGTTTTTAAGGTTCTGGCCAATTAACTGTACCAAAGTAAAATACACATACCAGTCTGTAATTCCCAGGAACCCTTCTAGCACTTTTCCCTCCAGATCTCTGGAACCATAGCTGATTTTAATGTGAGCTTGAATATTTTTTAATCAGTTCAGTCTCTTTATTCTTAAATTCCTTTCGAACACTTGGATGGACTTCATCCAGGCCTGGCAACTTGCCATTGTTTAATTTGTCAATTAATTCCAGCTCCTGCTTTTTCTCATCCCTGAATCTTTATCCATTCTATGTTTTTTAGTTGATGAAAAAGAGTAGGTATTTTCCCCCCATCTTCTGTGCTGAAGACTATTACGAAGAAAGCTTCTTTGCAACAACCTTATCTCCTTTAACTGATCCCTCCGGAGGGCTGATGAACACACTGATTCTTTGGCATGTACTCCATTTACAACCTCTGTAAACAATGTGTTGGTATTTATTTTTATATCTTTGGCTAATTGCTCTTTCAATTCCCCATTTGCCAACCTAATTTCCAACTTAGATTTTGTAAGCCATAATTTCTGTTCTTTTCATTGACTTGTGTGCTTGTATTAATACCTGTTCCAGGAAACAATTGTTGAAGATGTCAAGAAATTGCTTCTCTCATATTATAGTTGACTGCTTTATATGCGGGTAGTTGAAGTTACCTACTATCAGTGCTATAGGCTCCTGTTCAGCAAGGTACGTAACCATGTAAATGGTCACACGGGGATAGAGCCTCAGTTGTATAATTTGTCATCGCAGCATTGTTGACTTCAAGGGGACCACCTGTGGAACTACTTAATTTACTTCAAAAGGACTACGCCTATGCTTAAAATTAACCATGTGCTTTAGTACCTTGTGGAACTGGAGTCTTTTAAGTTGCTTCTTTGATCATGCTTATCACTGTGTAATTGTTACCCCTTTCCTAAAATTTTGGCTTAGATATTTTAACATACCTGGTATTTCTTGTGTGCTATGGCACGTGCCTCATCTTCATCTAATACAACTGTGTCACAGACTGCCTTAGTCTATTTTATTTATTTATCAAAAAATACTGTGGCCTTTGCTCTTCATCTGCCAAAATTAAATAAGTTGTCAAAGGGAAACTATTTCACATTATGACAGGTTTCAGAGTAGCAGCCGTGTTAGTCTGTATTCGCAAAAAGAAAAGGAGTACTTGTTGCACCTTATAGTGACTAACAAATTTATTTGAGCATAAGGTTTCGTGAGCTACAGCTCACTTCGTTGGATGCATTCAGTGGAAAATACAGATTTATATACCTCCCCACTGTATTTTCCACTGAATGCATCCGATGAAGTGAGCTGTAGCTCACGAAAGCTTATGCTCAAATAAACTGGTTAGTCTCTAAGGTGCCACAAGTCCTCCTTTTCTTATTTCACATTAGTTCAGCAATGTTGTACTGTCAGGCATCTCTTCAAACAGAAGCCAGATGTTCTTTAAAGTTCAAAGTCCATAATTTATCATAATTAAAACATATCTGGGTTATGATGTGATCATCAGTCATAACTGCAAAACACATTTCCCAGCTGCTTTTCTACTCATCTGCTTACAGAATATGCTGCAAAAATAAATACGCATTTTACAACATGGTGAGATTTGCTATTGCACTGTTAGTGCAACAGGAAAGTTGTTAGGCAGATTCACTATGTTTGTGCAGAACTCTATGGCTTGGTGTGAAATAGGCTAAGCCCTGGTCTACGCTGGTGCGGGGAGGAGGGGGGGGTGGAAATCGATCTAAGTTACACAACTTCAGCTATGTGAATAATGTAGCTGAAGTCGACGCACTTAGATCGACTTACCGTGGCGTCTTCACTGCGGTGAGTCGACTGCTGCCGCTCCCCTGTTGACTCTGCCTGTGCCTGTCGTGGCGCTGGAGTACGGGAGTCGAAGGGAGAGAGCTCAGGGGTCGATTTATCGCGTCTAGACTAGACGATCCCCACTGGATCGATCGCTGCCCGCCAATCTGGTGGGCAGTGAAGACATACCCTAAGTTTACTCAGCCCTTTTGTTCCCATAGGTATCCATGGAAAAGACACTCCAGCCAAATAATATTAGCAATTGACTATTTATATACAGCATTTAACCAAAGGCAGATTCAGAAGCAAGTGTCACAAGAAGACAGCCATTAGTAGTGCAGCTATGGAAACTTGTGAATTGAAATCACTTGGGGTTGCATACAAGTGCTGGCGAATCTGCCTGTATGGCATCAGAAGCTTTAGGAGACTGTAATCTGCAGAACATTAAAAAAGACTCCAGCATTATGTAGTGCTACTAACAATTTTATACCTATTTCCCTAGATTCAGATTACTTTTCATACATAGTTAGGAAGGAGTAAAAAGCCTGAGCATTTGCTCACCTTTATTGCTATTGTAATAAATAGAAACCATGGCGTTTATATGTAAAACCTCTAAGAACTGAATAGGCATAATAATGTTTTATTGATCGGAAAATTAATACTTTGTCAACAATTAAAATGAATGTTTCATAGGAACAGAGTGAAAATAAGACCAAAAATAATTTCACATTTTTTCATTTCGTTCTTACTTGATAAGCAATAAATACACTGCTATAGTCCATTAATCTTATTTACATTGTACAATAGTTTGAATGTTGCCTGATTTCTAGCATAACCCTTTTAGGACATGAAATGGTAACATAGGAGGATGTGCTTTAGCATGTGTTCAGCCAAATACTCTAGCAGATCATTACCTTGAAAAATAATGAATGACAAAACAATTAGTAAATTAACATTTTAAAAAATGGAATCAACTGAGCAGCCAGCAGTGAGCATCACCTAACTTCTTTGTGGCATTTTATTAACTGACAGCAGTAGCATAAAAATAGACACTCTCTCTCTCATTTGAAGTAATATCCATAAACATATAAAACTAACATCTTAGTATTACAGATACCAAATACAAAATTAGATCCTAAACAAGACAGGTATTCCCCCAACCCTCTTTGAGACTTCAAATCCTCACCGAATAACATACTAACAGCAAACTACAGTTACTAAGAAATGCTGGCCTGGTAAAAAGAACTCTTAAAAAAGACCCCATAACTGTCTATATTCCTTCAGAGCACAGATAGTAACTACACCAGTGTTTGCTCCAAACACAGTACAAAGTATATATAAAAAAGACCCTGTGTGAAATCAGCGTAAGGATTTAATTCAAATTTATTCTGATAAAGGAGAATTTAGACCATGTTCTTGATTGCCTGTGTATGTGAGAGGGGTGTTGTAAGAAGAGGGTGTAGGGAACTTATTCTCTAATACAACAGCCATAGGCAAGAAGGTCTACCTCATGTTTAGGGACAAAATGTAGCTCTAACGCCATTTGGCACACCGTGGCCACATAGGATTTTTTCTTACCTCCCCTTGCTGGGGCTGCATCCTGTTTCTTTTCTAAGAGTGTACATGGCACTACCTTGGGCCTGTCACCGTGAGCTGTTAGGATGGCTCTTGTACCAGAAGCTGTGGACCTCATTCTAACCCCCTACCTTCCCAATCCACAGCTCCTTAATGGAGCTATGAGCAGCCAATACTCCCTTCCACTAGGAGGTAAAAACCCCAGTAAAATCAATAGAGTTGCATCATCTAATGGGAACATTAGGCCTCTAGAATTTAACTCACCAGCCAATAGAATTCAATCTAAATTCAATCACCAGCCAATAGAAGGTTTAAACATATACATAAAGTTGCAAACAGCTGTGATGAAGATAAAAACTATTCACATTCTTATGAAATCTCAAGCTGATAAGCCCTACGATGGCTGGCTAATCAGCTGTCTATTGAAGTCTGTTAGAAGACTAATGACATATCACCCTTAAAGGCCAAAACTGAATTATTCATATTCAACAATAAGCTTTTAAAACTGAGGTGTTCTGAGAAAGTATGTTTTAATCCTCTGGTGTTGGCTTTAATAAATCAGAAATACATTTGCATGGCAATATTCTACCATGCACAGTACTAGATTTTTCATCCATTTCTGTTTATTTCACTTTATTCAGCTTTAAAAAAAGACTTTTGAATAAGACTTTTTTATCATGTGCCCCCTTTTGATTTTTCTTCCTTTGTATTGAAAATACACGATTTCTTTAAAGCATAAAACATTTAAAAATACACAGAAAATGCTGTCTTTACAGACATATTTTTCTTAAGACCTTAACAGATTCAAGCCTTATACAATCAGTCACCACAAAATAATACTGAATTTCCCAAACAAGGCACTTCAGAAAGGCTCCAAAAGATTTTCATAAGATAGACTTGGTAAGTTTTCCAAAAACCACTGGAAAATGCCCCAAACCATCTTTTCTTATTACTCTAGGCTAGGCCAAAGAAGCTGGCTCTGAGATCATATTTATTGGCATGCCATCCAATCTTGCATGCCTTTCTCAGACAAAACTCCCACTGTATCAATGGGGTTCGTTTTGCCTGATTCATAAACTAAGGAGTCAGGTATCAGGCATGTGGCAAGGAAAATATTTTTCTTTACACGTATGCAATCTTGCTCCAAGTCAGCAATCCTGCCCGACTTCTACAAACAGCTTAAGCACTAGTTTAAGTTCCATCAAAGTCAAAGATAAAGATGGGCTTATCAGCTTTTCCAGATCAGGACCTCACTGGTCCTGCTCCCATTAAAGTCAATAAGAAACTTCCATTTGCTTCATTTGTAGCAGGATCAGGCTGTCTGTCCACTAAAATAATTACAAACATCTTGTAAAATGTAACATTGAAGAATAGAAGCAGTGGGGGTTTCATGCCTCAGATTTCGGGCATTAGCATCTGGGTGCCTTTACAATATGCCTGGTTTAAAATAGTGGCAAAAAATGAGCTAGATACATATCAACATCTCAGACTTGATTATCTTCAACAATCTGTCTTTCCTGACAGAGTTCAATCTTAACCACTTATTTAGGTTGCGTACTGGATGAATTTAGCAAATATATTATGATTAAGACAGTATTTACAAGATGAGTTCTCGCAGGCAAATGATATGGTTTTCAATACAATACAGTCTTTACACAAACTTTCAAGAGAATAAGAAATCCTTCATTGATTCCCTGCATACAAAATAATTGCCAACTTGGTCTACACAGTAGAAACGGAAGAGGCAAAGTCTGATTCTTTATATATGTACTTATATCTATATATGAACATATATGTGTGCATACCATATACACCCACACATATGTGCATATGTATATACGCATGAGAAATACATTGTCTTAAGTTTGCATCATTCAGGAAAAACATGTCCCAAGTGAGGTAAAAATCTTCTGGCCACAAAGTCATTAACTCAAACTTCAAGTTCATGAGCTATGAGGACTAGAATGTGGGCAATACAGCATTTCTGCAGTCAACCATACAGCTTTTCAGATTTTAAAACAATATTCTCCATGTCATGGTAGCTTTTCCCATTTAAATGTTCACTCGTGAAATCGTGATTGAAGCTGTAGCCCTGAACATCACTGATGGATGATACCGTGTAGGAAGCTGTGCGCATAGCATCTGAGTGGCTGAAGCTGTGCTCAAATTGGATTTTGTACTGATTCCAGTGCCTTCTCAAAACAGCTTGGACCTATTCCGTGAAAGGAAGAGGGAAAAAATGTGTATAAATTACATGGACAGATGCTTATGTGCGGGCCTTAAAATTAGAATACAGCATCAAAATCATGAGCTATTATGAAAGAAATACAAATGGAATTAGGCTGTATTTTTGGTAAATCTAGACTAACATCATTATATTTAACATTTTAATACGTTCAAAGCTCGTGAAAGATTTTGGATTTATAGCTCCAGAGACTGGGCTATTCTATACCGTGGGCCCCAGAAGTACAAGTTTTCACACACTGCCTCAGCCCTAATGTGGTTATCCAAAGGTTATCTCTAGTCATGATTAATGTGGTCAGATCCTCAGCAACATCAGCTGATATAACTCCATTGAAGTCCGATTTACACCAGCTGAGGATCTGGCCCAACAAGTCTTCTCTTATTTGTGATCAAGCCTTCATAAAACTAATGGCAAGGTAGTTTCAGCACATGTTCTTACCCTGGTTAAAAATAAATTGTATAGAATAGCCGAAGACCACAGCGGCCTCAGTTTGTTTACATGCTTCATTGCAAGGATGTTATGTATTTCACTGGTTTCCTCTAATACAATATGGCAAAACACCTGGGCAACAGGAAGACTGGATTTACTGAAGTGCTGGGTTAATGAAATTCACATGTAATTAGTTTTTGAGGAAGGAGGCCAAGTTAGGAGTGATCAGAATGCTGGTACAGCTGCTTGTAAGAAAATCAAATTTATGGAAAAATCTTAATTTATGTTTTTGCTCAGATTTAAGCATCAGGGATTATGTATTAGTCCTACCACTTAACTATATTATAGACCAAAGTGAACATTCCTGTAACTGCCCTAAAGTCAGTGTCGTTACAGGAGAGATTGAATTGTGGCCCTATGGACCTGCATTCCTTCTCATCTACATCCTAGCTTCCTTTTTGCACAAGCAAAATACCAGGCGCCTACGTGCTAAATTGTGTCAGAGTTATTTGCAGCTGTTAACAATAGGTGCTAAAAGGGATACCACGTGTTCAAGATCTCGTCCTATCTGATTAGCATTTAATGTAATGTAATAGCTTAACTATTCATTTCCTTCTGGCCAAAATTTTCAGACTAATAATTATGGGTTCCTAATTTGTGATGAGCCTGATTTTCATAAAATATTGAGACGCAGTTGTCTTGACACTAACGTGTGTCTCAAGTTAGCACTCAAATCACCAGCCACATGGGAAAATCTTGCCCTTCATTTTTATGTTGTCAGATTTATTGATGTACATCCACTTGGAATATAAACTAACATTTGCAGATGGAACAGTGTCTGTTAACAAATTACTATTATGGGGCAACATCTTCCATTCAGCTTTCCTTATGTCTTGAGGTTTTTGTTTGTTTAGTTTACATTTTTCTAACAAAATGGCTTATTTTGTCTAATTTCTCTCCAGCTTTAATTATGATAAATAGGAATAGAACAGCATAGACACAACATTTAGACTTCTGTAGTCTGCTATCAAAACCTCAGTTAAAAAGAGTTTCATATTCCCCAGTATGCTGACAAATAAAATATACTTTGGGGAGAGGAGAATTATTTAAAGAGTTAAGAAGGAAGCTAGTATTTTTCTTCTCCCATCTGGGACACCATCTACTACCGTTGTAATCCATTTTAGTCACCTTGCTCTTGCTACACAAAAGATCATATATTCTTCTCAGTCTGTGTATGCAGTTCCAGTTCACGTCAAAGGGAATTCTGCACATGGCTTAAGGCTGGTGTGTGACCTTAATTTTTTAAAGTGGTTAACCCACTTCAATCATGTGGAGCCACGAGGCAGAAGAATGTTCTAAAACATCTCCCCTTCTGAGAGGGAAGCTTTAGAATGCATTTTATAATCTATTCAAAACTTAGCTGCTCAGAGCCATCACTCTGACCATGACACCCCACACTTTGAATATTTCTACTGGCTTCCTGTTTTCCACCAGGTATTATATTTACTTATAAATAAGAGAGAAAACCACAATGCTGGGTTGATTTGAAGCAACTTACTCACCTCCCTGAACTGTGCAGAATGCAGATGCAGACTAAGATGATGGGAAAGAGAAATTGTTATTATTCCCATTTACTAATAGGCACAGAGAAATTGAGTGACTTGCTCAAAGTCACCCAGGAATTCTATGGCAGAGCTAGGAATTGATTCAGAATGGATCATCTTAGTTCTGGACCAGTGTCATAATCACAAGACCATCAGTACCCTCATCCGCTTTTCCTTCCTTCCTGTTTGTCACACTTATTGAATCATCTCTTCAATTAGATTGTAAAATTTTGGGGGCAGGAACTAAGGTTGTAACGTCTTTGACACTATTGCAATATAAATCAATAATAATTTTTAAGAACAAAGCAGTCAAAGTAGTGTGATATATTGTCTGCAATTGTTGCTTATATTTGGTGCTTCAATATGGCTCTCTCACTTTCTCTTTTATCTTCTCCTCCCTCCCCACACCTCCAGGCTCCAACATATTCTCTGGTATTTCTTCCTACACTAAGCCAAGCCTTTTAAACCTCTCATGCAATAGCCCCTCTGTTACCATTGAATCAACATGCCACTACCAGTCTATTCTTGTAATTCACTGCAGTTTACCTATCCCTTATTTCTGGCTTTCCTGCAGTCTCATCTGACACGTCTAACCCAACACCTAGGAACTGCACAGCAAATTGCTAATCAATGCAGCAGCAAAGCTCTGCCCCGGATTACACTCCTTTAACAAAAGATACATCCAGAGTGGTCGAAGAACTTTATCATCCTTTTCTCAGCTTTGACCAATTCTAAATAGTTTTAGCAGACTGCGGGCTCACTCTCTTACATGAAAATAACACAGACAAAAAACATCCTAAAATAAGCTCATATTGCAAAGTATATATAGTCATGGCCATAGTTCCTGGTCACTAAGCCATGTGCCCTGTCTGGCTGTATGGTTCTTGCTTTTCTTCCTAGTTTAAAGATGTCCCTCTGTGCTGGCACTTCGGGCAGTGCTCCTGCCAGTCTCCTGTTCAACTGAATATGCCCTAACCAAACTATTGGTTTAATCCAAAGTTCACTGAAATCGATAGGGATTTTTCTACTGCCTTCAACGACGTCTGTATCAAGCCCACTGAAGCTTGGGCTGCTCCAAACACCCACTGTGATTGCAGACCATGCTACGCTCTACGTTAGAGCTTGTATCTGAGTGCCTGGTATAGCGGTTTCCTGCTGGTAAAGTTTCCTGCTCTTGTCCATAGCAGTTGGGAAACCCCAGCATATGGATAAAGAAAAGAGATTACTTTCCAACAATTCTTATACCTCAATCTTTGCTGTAAAGACTTTTCCATTGCCCAAAGGAATGGAAAACCCACCTGCCATTAATAATAAAGAAATTTGCAGCAGATGCAGATTCCTTATTCACTGTTATCCCATATAGCAACACAAACTGCACATGCATGTTGCCACTTCCCTAGGATGCCTAGTATTCTGTAAATTATAATGAGGTTTTGCTATGGCAAGTGATGTTAAAGGGACATATCATAGATAAGTCATATCAAGTTCAAAACTGCTATAACAGAGGCCCTTAAGGACAGAAGATTATGAGTTATGCCTGCTGAATGTCATGTCTGCAGCAGAATCTAGTAAGAGACCGAGAGAACACTTGTTGAGTACAGATTTTTGTATGATTTTTAACTTTATTGTCATTCCCCCCTTGAGCCATTATACCTTACTATACTATCATTTTTATAACAAGATATAATGAAATTATAGCCAGCTGAAAAAAAATTGAATAGTGCCACTGGAAGAGCTAAAGACGATAGGAGACAATGTTTAAAACACAAGATTCTGCGCAATGGCATGTAAATGGACAAAGATCAGCTAAGATTAAAGATTGTGGGCCAGATGTCAAGATGATTTATGGCCCTTTTATGTAATTCAGGTGATGCTAAATTGCTGTAATCTGTCCACAGATGCCCAGCAGAAAATTCCCTTGTTGGAGGGGAACTCCCTGCTAGTATGTCTGCTTGTAGAGGGCACAGCAGCGCTAAGCTTTGCTACACTGATCCTCCAGCATTGTAAGGCCCATTAAGGACCCTAAATTAGTGGTGTAACTGACAGCTACCCAACTCCCTGACACTGAACAAACCTCTGGCTCCGGAGAGAATATGGCCGAAGTATAGATTGTAAATTCATAATATTGGAACCCTAACAGAATAAATAATTGATTACTAATGCTAATAGAGCAAGTTTTAAATTTAAAACCACAGGTAGATTTGATTTTGTTCTGCAGTGGAATGGAAACGTTGTTAAGAGGTGCACATAAATTAAAAATAATTATAGCTGATCAAAGGACAGCAATTCCATTTTGCATCCATTTTGTTCGTTTCGCAGTAGAACAAAACTAAAACCATTCAAATGTTTGCACAAAAATTGAATTCTGTCAAATTATCCGTTTTCAGATCAAAACCTGAGCTTTTCAGTTGCGGAGGGCAGGGGAGGGGCAGTGATTAGGGCACAGTGATGTGGGCGGTGATCCAATCAGATTCAGAATCATCTGTGATGAAAAACTCTGCTCTGGAACAGGCAGAGGAGCAGGGACTTGAACTATGGTCTACCACATCCCAGGGCAGTGCATTAATGACAAGATTACCAACTATGAGCATGTCTTTCACTCCCCAACGGGGATTGCCTCAAAACTGTTTTCCGCAAAACTGATTTCCTCAAAATGTTTCAGATTCTGCAAAACAGCATATTTTGGCACAACATAATTTGGTCAGAAATGTTCTGACCAGCTCCAAAAATAATGGAGAGAGAAACTTATCCAAACCATAGGAAAGTTGCAGTTCAGTTTTGGTTAGTTCAGATTTTGGGTGTGCACTTGAGTCAATTCTTCTCTATTAGTCAAATGATTTATCTGTTTCTCATACATTCTTAAATGCCTAATAAAAATATTAGGGCAGTCGATTAATCACAGTTAACTCATATGATTAACTAAAAAAAATTAATCATGATTAAAAAAATTAATCGCAATTAATCACAGTTTAATCGCACTGTTAAACAATAGAATACCAGTTAAAATATATTAAATATTTTGGATGTTTTTCTACATTTTCATATATATTGTATTCAGTTGTAACTGAAATCAAAGTGTATATTATTTTTTATTACCAATATTTGCACTATAAAAATGATAAACAAAATAAATCATATTTTTCAATTCACCTCATACAAGTACTGAAGTGAAATCTCTTTGTCGTGAAAGTGCAACTAACAAATGTCGATTTTTTGATGTTACATAACTACACTCAAAAACAAAACAAAGTAAAATTTCAGCGCCTGCAAGTCCACTCAGTCCTACTTCTTGTTCAAGTTTGTTTACATTTACAGGACATAATGCTGCCCTCTTCTTATTTACAATGTCACCAGAAAGTGAGAATTGGCGTTTGCATGGCACTTTTGTAACCAGCATTGCAAGGTATTTACGTGCCAGATATGCTAAACATTTGTGTGCCTCTTCATGCTTTGGCCACCAGACCAGAGGACATGCTACCATGCTGATGACGATCGTTAAAAAAATAATGGGTTAATTAAATTTGTGACTGAACTTTTTAGGGGAGAATTGTATGTCCCCTGCTCTGTTTTACCCGCATTCTGCCATATATTTCATGTTATAGCAGTCTTGGATGATGACCCAGCACATTTTGTTCATTTTAAGAACACTTTCACAGCAGATTTGAGAAAACGCAAAGAAGGTACCAATGTGAGATTTCTAAAGATAGCTACAGCACTTGACCCAAGGTTTAAGAATCTGAAGTGCATTCCAAAATCTGAGAGGGATGAGGTGTGGAGCATGCTTTCAGAAGTCTTAAAAGAGCAACACTCTGATGCGGAAACTACAGAACCTGAACCGCCAAAAAACCTTCTGCTGGTGGCATCTCACTCAAGATAATGAAAATGAACATGTGTTGGTCTGCACTTCTTTGGATCGTTATCGAGCAGAACCCGTCATCAGCATGGATGTATGTCCACTGGAATGGTGGTTGAAACATGAAGGGACATATGAATCTTTAGTGCATCCAGCATGTAAATATCTTGCGACACTGGCTACAATAGTGCCACGAGAACACCTGTCCTCACTTTCAGGTGACATTGTAAACAAGAAGTGGGCAGCATTATCTCCTTCAGATGTAAACAAATTTCTTTGTCTGAGCAATTATCTGAACAAGAAATAGGACTGAGTGGACTTGTAGGCTCTAAAATTTTACATTGTTTTATTTTTTAATGCAATTTTTTGTACATAATTCTACATTTGTAAGTTCAACTTTCATGATAAAGAGATTACACTAGAGTATTTGTACACCCGACCCTTGCTAGAATGCAGGGTTCGGGATCCATGTGCAGTACCATGTTAATGCGGGGACCGCATTATAGCAGGGGCCACGTTACCATGGATCCCAATTTAAATATTTAAATTTGGGATCCAACGCTGCGACCGTGCTATATGTGAATCCACGCTCTAGCAAGGGTCCGCTGTATTAGGTGAATTGAAAACTACTATTTCTTTTGTTTTTTTACAGTGCAAATACTTGTAATCCAAAATAAATATAAAGTGAGAACTGTATACTTTGTGTTCTGTGTTGTAATCGAAATCAATCTATTTGAAAATATAGAAAACATCCAAAAATATTTAAATAAATGGTACTCTAATATTGTTTAACAGTGCGATTAATTGTGATTGATTTTTCTAATCTCTTGACAGCCCAAAAAATACCTAAAGGCTCAATCCTACAAACTCTTACTTCCACACGTCTGCTTACTCACATATACTGTAATTGAATTATGTGTGGGAATAAGCAGTTGTGTAGAAATAGGTGCCTGCTGGATCAGTAACTGTCTCCCTAATAGAACTATGGGAAAAGTACCAAATTGCTTTATTTTGCTAGTGAAAACAAAACTGGTGGCAAAGTTCCATTAACTTCTGTGATGCAGGGTCAGGGCCTTAGCCCACTGAAGATTTAGGGCATAGTCCTTTGACTTCAGAAGGAGCAAGTATGTGCCCTCAGTAGCACAGTTGCCAACTTTCATGCAGTAAATAGGTACCTCAACTTTCACAATAAGCCAAAAATCAAGCTAATCCCATTTCAAAACAAGACCCAAACAAGCCAATCCCTAAGAACCCACCACTCTATGTGACTAGATCCCCCGAAGTGTGCAGTCTGGGACAATGGTGGGCCTGCTGTGCACCCCTGACTCTCTCCCCCCCACACTTGCCCCTTGCCTCTGCTTGCCAGGAGCCGATCAAAAGAAAGAAGCAACAACCTACAACAAGCAACAAGCTACAAGCCAAACAAGCTACAAGCCAAAAACTAGCCAGAAGCAACTCACAAGCCAATTAAGCCAAAAACAAGCCCAATTTCTGTGGGTTTTTTGAGGGTTTGGCATGTCTGCTCAGTAGTCACCTGAAGGGCAGGATTGGACTCCCAGAAGAATGGAGGTCCAACTGAAGCAAGGAAAACTTTTTGATGGCCCAAATATAGAAAGTTTACAAAGCCTTGGCCTTGAATGTTTTTTCCACTTGTGCTGAAAAGGCTGTTTGCAAAAAATAAGCCCAAAGTTCTGCCCCCAAAATGAAAAATCTGAAACACCACCAAAAGAGATGATCTTTTACCTCCATTTCATACAGTAAAGTTAGTGTTCATGAAAGGTACCATTTCACAGTTCTACGGATGCAGACCTCAACCTAATTACAGAGCAGTAATTTCCTAGAAAGCAACAATTTTTCCAGTTCTGTCCCACAAGTGTGCCTCATTCCTGACCTTGAAGGACCAATTCAAGGCCTTGCTGGGGGTAAGGCTGACACAATGATGACAGTTTGGTAGTTTCTTGGATGAGAATACATGTCCACTAGGAATTTATGATTTTATTTGTCAGTACTGAAATTTTTTCCCACATAGCAGTGCTGTTATTGTTATATGGATACTAACCTGAAAAGTGCTGAGTGCCGTTAATTACTTCTGAAATCAAGAGAATTTTAGGCTGCTCAACACCTAATAGGTTTAAACCCTTACGAATTTCATGAAATATTTTAGAGGCAACACTCAAGCCTAAATTCAGGTCTTGCTAGGTAAGTTATTCGCAAATACTTTATCCCTAACATTTTTACTTATTTTAAAATGTAGAAGTGTAAATTTAAATTTCTATTTACAATTTTACATTTGTCATTGGGATCACAAATGGGGGTGGTGGATTTAAAAAAACAACAACAAAACAATTTCTTTTAACTCTAAACCAAAATTAAGGAAGTTAAATAAATTGAAATCAGTTACTGTACCTACCTCTCCATTAAAAAAGCAGAAAATTGTAGCCACCAACAGACCCTGCAAAATAAAAAGTTTTCTCTTGATTTTTTCAATACATACAGATTTATTGAAATACAAGAACACACACACACTAACACACCCCTAATAAAACGCAGATCTAGAGAGCAAAGAGGAAAAATGCATTTCAAATCTAAACTCAGTGAATTATTACTAATAATACAGATGGTCTATTGGACCAGCACACTAGCATGACATTTCATTCCTCCTAAAGGATTAATCTAAATGAAATGAGAAATATAAGGCTATTAATAAGCAGAAGTTTTTTTATAAAGATCTAAAAATGGTTTAGAAATTAATGAATTTCCCTTTGTCATTCATTTATTTGCAGTCATATTGCAAGTACTGTCTAGCTCAAGGGAACAAGTGCAACTTAAAGCTTCTTGCCTGATAATGCATAAGGATATGCATCACGTAGTCATATACTTCTTCAGCAATACGGCCTTCTGGTCGCCATGGAAACAGCACAAATTCAATGCCAAGAAGTGGCACTAGAATGAGTGTAGCTCTCACAGCTTTCATGTATAGACTGGATTCTGCCTGGTGTGTGACTTTGAGCTTGGTTATGAGAACTCGAACAATATTCAACAGGAAAAAAAGATTCACCTGTAAGAAAGGAAATTGCTTTTGTAATAGTCTGATAGAATAGACTACAATTATTTTGTACTGAATACTGAAAGCAACGGAAACATTTACATGTTAGAAAACTCAGACTATATGTTATGTCATTAGACATGTATTCATTATAACAAAATGGAGCATCTGAAACTTCTTCTGTCTGGATTGGATCTACACTTTGCACTTGGAGATTAATTCTTCTCATGACAACTTTCTCCTTGTGATTCTATATACATAATCACATATGCAATATATGCATAATTATTTAAAGCTTGTACCTGTATAACAAAACAGGAACTCACCTCCAAAGAGGCATGCAGTTTAGCAGTCTGATCCTACATTCCTTGCATATTCAAAATTCCCATTAACATCGGTGGGAGTTTTTGGTGTCAGGATCAGGATGTTAATCTGAATGGATGAAATCGTGGCCCTACTGAAGTGAATGGAAATTTTACTATTGACTTCAAAGGGGCCAGTATTTCACCCAAAGTTATTGGACCAATCTTGGATGCTGGATTATGAAGAGAGTAGACTATATCACGGTATGTAAAATAATAGCTACAGCAGCTTCCATGCAAGGTTTTCAAACCACTTCCTAGATATTAATAAATAAATCCTTACAACATGCTCATGCAACAGAAAAGAATTGTAATCCCTATTTTACTAATTGGGAATTTAGACACAGAGGGATTGATTTAATGTAAGGTCTTGATCCTGGGTCAGCTGAAGGTGATTGATTTAATCAGTTTCTAAAGGCTGTCTACATAGTGCGCTAGTGTACACCAGTGGGATGTAAATTCTAGTGCATAGTGGCATGTCATACACTCACTGGCCCACCTGGACCCTGTTGGCATGCCCTAGAAGTTCCCTAGTGTACAAGGTGCTTGTGCACACTAGAATTTATATCTCAGGTGGTACACACTAATTTATTTAGTATTTGCATATTCTCTGAGCCAAGCAATAGCTCAGAGCCCACCACTGAATTTGGTTGGTGGGCACACCTCAATAATGTGTGTCATTGTTAGATGTGCACCACAGCTGCATCTTGGATTGTCTCAAAGATCCCAGCAGTGCTGGGTGGCTGCACAGAAGCCTTGCCCAGTCTGGAATTGGTTAAGAAGGGCCCACTGATGACATGGCAGGTTGAAGCCAGGCAGGTGAGCAGAAGGTTCTCTGAAGAGGAACTTATTCGTGGTTGATATTAAGCACTTGTATTCCCACCACACAGACTCTGCTGTCACATTCTGGCATGGCAGCCTCGACCACAGTGGATGTTGTGATGGAAGACGTGGACAAAAAGGCAAGGGCAAATGTAGGTTGGCATGTACCTTCTCAAGCAGCTTGTCTACTGCAATCTCCCTCCTGATGTAAGGGAGCAATGTGGCTCAGAACTGGAAGCCATAGAAGATGAGTCAGTAAGAGAGTTCCTGCAATTATGCACATTGTTGAACTGAGTTGCACATCAACAAGTTTGGTGTGTGCCTCCTGAATCCATACTGGCACACAGTATTCTGCTCTTCAGTACGAGATGGCAAGGGCTGAGGTTCTTAGGGTTGGAGCATCCACTCCCCGTGAAGAACCTGCCAGTTTGCTGAGAAGGTTTTTGCCTGTCTTGACCTTCACTGCTATCTTGCTCAGCCGGCTTTTATATGTTTGGTTGAGGGTCACGCCTAAGTAAACTGGGTATGCTTCATGCTTCAGCCTCTGGCCATTCATTGTGATGTTTAATTCCCTCTTAGTGTTGGCATGGTGGAGGTGGAATGTTCTAGAGACTGTCTTGCTGGTGCTAGGCTGAAGGCGCCATGTCTTGCAGTAGTTGGCCAGCTTTGCAGCTTCGTCGCTCAGGGTATTCTCCAACTTATAGAAAGTGGGAGCCTGTAGTCCACAGCAGATATTGTCTGCATAGATGACTGGGTTGGTGGCAGGTCACTGATGTATATATTGAACAAGGTGGGGGCTAGAACAGACCCTTGGGGTACCCTGCTCATCTGTTTTTATCAAAGCACTTGTTTTCTCACCAACATGCACCCTGAACCATCTGTCTTAGATGTAGCTGTTTGATGGCATCAGTAACCCATGGTTGGAGGACTCTTCATATTTTAACAAGTAGACCTGTGTGCCATGTATGCTGCGGTGAGGTCAAGGAAAATAGCACCTGTTTTCAGGTTTCTTTGAAAACCATTTTCAATTAATGTGGTTAGTATGTGTGCTTCGACCTTGTTGAAAGTCTGCTTGCTCGACATTAAAAATATTCTCAACCTCTGGTGTTATTCACTGTAAAATGAGGCACTCTAGAACCTTGAGACACACAGAAAGCAGTGATATCGGGTGGTAGCTTGATGCCTGGTTTGGGTCTTTACCAAGTTTTAGGAGGCTGATGACTTTTGAAATGCACCAGTTTTTCAGCAGTCTTCCTTCATTGTGACCTTTTTGAAGACTTGAGCCAGCCAAGAATGGGGGCATAGGCCAAGATGTTTCAGGAACTCTGGAAGGATGTTGTCTTAGCTGGCAGTGGTGTCAGACTTGATGTTATATAGCACTCTGTCCAGCCGTGGAACTATGAAAGGTTCAGGGCAAGCTCTGGATTTGTGTTGCCTTGGAAGATCCTCCACGCACTCTGGACTTGACTCTTAATTTCTTTTTCCAGAGGTGTCTTTCCCACGCAAAGCAGGTGATTGGTTATTGGTTAGTACTCAGAGAAATCAGCATGGTGTCAGTGGTTGCTGGGTTACTCTAACGTGACAAAGTAAACTCCAGCATTTCTGGCTGGACCATGTAAAGTCCAGGTTCTTGGTCTTTTCCTCCCCTCTGGCTCAGTGAGCACAGTTCAAAGTTTTGATTAAGTGTTTGGCCACGTCTGGGTCACCGGTTGACTCATACGGCTTGAGTAGAGCAGTGCACTCCTACACAGTTCAGCCCACATCCAGCATCATGCTGAGTCTTGCACAATTTTCCACACAGCCAGCACAGACCATCAGTGATCCATATTGATTTTCAGCTACCAACTGTCATGAGCACAAAGAAGAAGTAATGGAACATGTGCAGAGCCATCTGCACAGTAATGCACCATGTAGACCAGAGGTGGGCAAACTTTTTGGGCTGAGGGCCACATCTGGGTGGGGAAATTGTATGCAGGCCCGGGGCAGGGGGCTGGAGGGAGTGTGGGATGTGGGAGGGGGTGCGGTGTGCTGGAACGGGCTCAGAGGGAACTGGGGCAGAGGAGGGATGCGGGGTGTATGAGGGTGTATGAGGGGGCTCAGGGAAGGGGGTTGGGGTGCAGGAGGGGTGCGGACTGTGGGAGGGAGCTCAGGGTGTAGGAGGAGTGTGGGGTTTGCAGGGGGCTCAGGGCAGGGAGTTGGGGTGCACAGGGGTGCAGGGTGTGGCAGGGGCTCAGGGCAGGGGGTTGGGGTGCATGGGGTGCAGGGTGCAGCAGGGGGCTCAGAGCAGGGGGTTGGGGTGCATGCTGGTGCTGGCTACAGCAGGGGCCTCAGGGCAGGGGTTGGGGTGCAGGAGGAGTGCGGGGTGTGGCAGGGGGCTCAGGGCAGGGAGTTGGGGTACAGGAGGGGTGCGAGGTGCAGAGGTTGGGGAGCAGGGTGCAGGAGGGGTTCGGGCTCTGGCCCAGTGCCATTTACCTAAAGCAGTTCCGGGGTGGCAGTGGTGAGCACCGGGGCAAGGGCAGGCTCCCTGCCTGCCTGCCCTGGCCCCACGCCACGCCACTCCGGGAAGTGGCCGGAACCATATCCCTGCGCGGCCCCTGGGGGAGTTGTGGGGGCACAGGGCTCCGCATGCTGCCCTTGCCATGCCTTTGGGTACCTCTCCCAAAGCTCCCATTGGCCGCTGTTCCCCGTTCCTGGCCAATGGGAGCTGCGGGGGGCAGTGCCTGGAGGCAAGGGCAATGCACAGAGCCATCTGCTCCCTCCCCCGCAGGGCCCCAGGGACGTGGTGCTGGCCACTTCTGAGAGCGGTGCGGGGCCTGCGTTACCACGGGGGGCAATCTCATGGGCCGAATCCAAAGCCCTGAGGGGCTGGATCTGGCCCGCGGGCCATAGTTTGCCCACCCCTGATGTAGATAAACCCAGAATGAATTGCTCAAAGTTACACAGGAAGTCAGAGGCAGAGTTGGAAATAGAAACCCATAGCTCCTAATGCACAGTCCTGTGCCATAGCTACCAAATCATCCTGCCCCTCTAGATTTGTAGCAGAGTAAAGCCTGTCTAGGTGGATCTTCTACTTGTGTCTAAGTGTGGTTATCTAGAAAGGTGCCAACTTATTTCCAGATAAGGTCATATACCCTTTTTGCTTTACCCAAGTGAGTAGTGCTGTTAACCTCTACGGGACTGCTGACATGGGTAAAGTGAGCAGGATTTGACCTTCACTGTAGACAAGAGGTAAGAGTATAACGTAGACAACAAATTTTTCTATGGCAGCGGAAAAGACAAGTGAAATAAAAAGCTTTTTGAACATTTGTGAAAATAGAAAAATCACTGATGCAGCCGTTAGCCTGTCATTCTGAATGTGTACACTTTATGAGGCATTCATTGCTCTCAGAAATCAATCACAAAATACACAGCGATAGAAAAAAAGCTATAAAATTATTACTCACCTTTTTAGCATACAGATACATACAATTTTAAAATTTACATTTTCAATTTTCCCAGTGGTCAGCAGCCTTTTATTGTAGCAAAGTCAAAGGGGCAGGCTTTTGAGACAATGGATTTTGTATTACAGTTTAACTAAAATTGCATCCCTGCTGTCTAGAGCTGATCAAAAGTCTTCGATCAAAACTTTTTTCAACATAAAATGTGTGGAAATTTTCAAGAAAAAAAATCCATTTTCATCAAAAATGTTTCGGTTTTCACTGAGTACCCGCCCCCACAAAAAATGATTCCCCCCCCTCCAGTTTTCATCAATCAAAAAAGCCAAAAACTGGGAAAAAATTCTGTTGTCAGTTTTGATTTTTCAATGAGAATCCAAAACATTTGAAAGAG